ACATGTCTCTCCTGTCTTTTTATAGAGACAGGAGAGACATGTGACATCTGATCTAATTTGCCCCTTTGTCCTTCTATATATAGGGTGCACTACCAAGACACTACGCTGTCGATTTGGACAACATCGCTAATATATTGAACAGCGCTCTGTGGATCACAGCGTACCACAACATTTTGCTATCAAACACAATAAATCTACAAAAGGCCTAGCAGTATTTGAAATAGCCGATCCAACATCTGGATCGGCTAAGCCGAACCTCCGGCAGGCTACTCACTGCTGTTCGGTCTATTCTTATAGATGCCGAACAGCAGTGAGTGAATAGTTGAATGCCGCTGAGCGGCATTCGGCTCAACTGTAGGGCTGTAACAACTAATCGACATAATCGATTATAATCGATTATTGAAGAAGTTGTCAACTTTTTCAATAATCGATTAATCGGCTTCCGATCAGTTGGCCCTGTTCACAGCTCCACACGCTGTGCGCCGCACCTCCTCCCCACCTCACGCTCTCTGTTGCCAGACCCGCTCGCATCCACGCTCCACACGCCGCACCTCCTCCCCGCCTCACATTTCCTGCCCATCCACATCCACGATCGGCAAGGGACGCGGGGAGATGTAGTAAGGAGGAGCAGGTGCGGGGGGATGACAGCCGCTGATAGACAGGTCCAATCTCAGAAGCAAGTTGCTGGAAGACTGCTCAGGTAAGCCTGCACTTTCCCACACATGGTACTCTATAATGTATTGCTGGGATTTGTTGTAGTCCTCTATACAGCGCAATGCGGAATACCACCAGCTATAGAGGACTACAACAAATCCCAACAATAATACAGTATAAAGTGGTGCAATGCTAAATACCACCAGCTATACAGGACTACAAAACCTAGCAATAGTATATTATACAGCGCAATGCAGAATACCGCGAGCTATTGTGTACTATTGCTGCAATTTGTTGTATTCCTCTATAGCTGGCGGTATTCTGCATTGCGCTGCATAATGTGCTTTTGCTGGGTTTTGTAGTCCTCTATAGCCAGTGCCATTCTGCATGCATTGCTGTATAATTTTACACTTTCCATTTCACTATATTGCACACCACACTATCTTTTTCATTTTTTACTTCCACCGCACCAAGCTTGCACCTGTGATGGACTACAACCTCAATACAAACTAGTAGTCCTATCACTGGAGCCATTTTTTAAACTTTATTTTATTGTTTATCCGATTAGACAATTAATCAAACCTAATAATCGGCTAACGAATCGATTTTGAAAATAATCGTTAGCTGCAGCTCTACTCGGCTGTTCTACTCAGTCCCTCTGTGGGACCGAGCTGAACAAAAAAATAGTTCAAAAAGTAGAAAAAAATAAATAGAAAATGATTGTGCGGAGCTAGCAGTGACAGCTAGCTCCGCCCAACTGTTTTCTATTGGCCGGCGGTTCTGCTGCGGTCAAAAAAAGAAAAAAAAAAACATTTTCGCCATAGGAATGCATTGCTAGATTCCTATTGGCTATTGCAAATTGAAATAGCAAATAGGAATCTAGCAAGGCATTCCTATGGTGAAAAATATATATATTTTTATTCTGACTCCAGCCAACTGCTCCGTGTCAAAATAAAAAATAAAAAAGCAGTGTTTCTCTCCTGAGCGGACGGGAGCGGGAGACTCCCGGAGCGCCCGGGAGAGTTCGGCTGTTTGGAGATCAGTGTCCCTGGTTAGCTGGTAACCAGGGACGCTGATCTCTCTGCAAGTGGCCGGAGCCAACCGTAACATCACGGCTGGCTCCGCCCAGCTGTCAGAAGCAGGCCAGCTTCGGCTTTCACCTCGGCTCCGTCAAGCCGGAGCATATGCGTTCGGCTCGACTAAGCACCCCGGCTGACTTCGGGAGCTGTACGGGCTATAGTGAATAGCCCGTACAGCAGCCCTTCGGTTCTACTGAACCAAAGTGGTCCTGGTGCCGAAGCTACCCAAAGGATCAGCCGAAGCTATGGCTAGATCCTTTGGCTACTTCGTGAATAGACCCCTATGTGTTTCTCTCCTCTAGTTAAACTGCTCAATGTTCCCCCCTCCCCTATATATAAGAGTATGTCCATTCAACCCTTAGGATCCTGATCATTAAGCTCTTGGCGCTGATTCAGTGAAAAGCTTTTTGTATTTTTTAAGACTGTTGTTGAACACCACCATATTGGAATTTATTGGATTTGGCACCTCTGTGGACTGGAGAATGAACAGAATATTTTTATATAATTTTTTACCAAGATTAGTTGTGGTTCTTTATTGTAGATTGGGGGTAAATACATTCTTAAAAATCTCTTTCACCAAGAGATTTTCTTTTATACTAGTAAACCTATTATTTTTATTTGTTGGCAAATCATAAATATGTTCCTATTTACAGTACATCTGACCATGAAATGACCTGTAAATATACTGTACCTAGAAAATAAGCCAAATAATTTATAAAGGGGAAGTTAAAGCTGAGGAAGAAGACCTTTTCCGCGGGACTGTTCAGCATAGGCATACCACAGCATCAGCTGGTGAGGGCAAAAGTTATTTTATTTATTTTGTAAACACCGATCAGCCAAAACACAATAAATCTACAAAAGGCCTAGATCAGCCATAACTTTATGACTACCCGCCTAATAGTGAGTAGTTGTCCCCCTTTTGCCACCAAAAAAGCCCTGACCCACTGAGACATAAGCTCCACTGGACCTCTGAAGGTATGCTGTGGTATCTGTCACCAAGCCACCATTAGCAGGTCCTTCAAGTCCTGTAAGTTGCGAGGTGGGGCCTCCATGGATTGGACTTGTTTTTCCATCACATACCACTGATACTCGATTGACATGAGATTGGCAGAATTTGGGGGCCAAGTCAACACCTTGAGTTGCGTTTCTCAAACCATAATAGAACAATTTTTGCAGTGTGGCACGACACATTATCCTGCTGAAAGAGACCACTGCTATCAGAGAATACAGTTTCCATAAAGGGGTGTTCTTGGTCAGCAACACTGTTTAGGTTGGTGATACATGTTAAAGAAACATCCACATGAATGGCAGGACCCAAGGTACCCAGCAGAACATTGCCCAAAACATCACACTGCTTCTGCCTTTCCTTCTTCCTATAGTGCATCCTGGTGCCAACTGCTCCCAAGGTAAGCAACACACACTCACACACGGCCATCCAAATGATGTAAAAGAAAATGTGATTCATCAAACCAGGCTACCTTCTTCCATTGCTCCATGGTCCAGTCCCATATGCAAGAAACTGTATTGCACAGCCTTTGCTCCGCATACATATGAGCCTTGGCTACCAATGACCCTGTTGCCGATTCACTGTTTTTTCCTCCTTTGGCTACTTTTGGAAGGTCTTGACCACTGCAAACTGGGAACATCCCACAAAAGCTTCAGTTTTGGAGTTGCTCTGACCCTTCACAATTTGTACCTTTTCAAAGTTGTCCAAATCCTTATCCTTGCCCATTTTTTCTGCTGCTAATGCATCAACGTCAGGGACAAAATGTTAATTTGTTGTCTAATATATCCCGCCAACTTCCAGGTGCCATTGTAGTGAGATAATAATTTCACCTGTCAGTGGTCATAATGTTATAGCTTATTGGTGTATATATTTATCTGAGGCAGCTTAAGCATTAGTAAATGGCAGAAATAATGTTCAAGATTTGCCCACCATTCATTTTAAGGAGGTTCAGAGTAAACTTTACGATTTCCGGGATCTACGGTAAATTCAGCTAAGCAAACCCAGACCGATTCGCTCATCCCTACTCCTGAACTTTTCCATATACAGCTCCAGAAATGTCTTACAGAGCTATTTTTATTCACAGAAGGGGAAAGAGTTTGGAGAAGGCAGGAGACAACATAGCTGATTTGGAAGATTTGTCCAGTTCAGCTATGTCTCACTTTCCAGTTCAGCTATTTTCCCAGATGGTTCACTTCTCCTGCCTTCTCCAAACTCCTTACTCTTTTGTGAATAACCCTGCTAGTATTTTTATATTTTAAATATATGTATTTTCTATATTAGTATACTCTCTTAAATATATAACATCTGTAAAATTCCAAGCTTATGTTTTTTGAAGTTCTATAATGCTTTAGGGGATATGGTGTTGGATTATCCTCCCTATAATGTATTTCTATATGCTTGGTGTTTTTATACATGATTATTGCATGCACAGTACACTGCATCACAAATATGAGAGCCCTGATAACATTTGCAATGCCTGAGTGCACTCTCACAAAATTCCTCTGCAAAGATCTTGGGATTTTTACTTGGTTGCACATTTTACTCCCTGGAAACTTGCTCCATTTACTCTCCACGCGTCTTACCAGCATTGTGGAGATAACACACAGTGATAATTATAATGAGCGCTGTTTATCCTTTGCATCTTAAAAAATAAAAATAAAACTTATGCTAGCTGAATTAAAAGCTGTGCCATCTTGCTGGATTTGTAAAGCAAATTGAGAATCAACGATAACACATACCATCTTTTCTTTGTCAGTCATGCAACGGCAAAGCGATCAATTAGCGATTTCCTCATTGGACTGTCACCTGGTGAGGGATTGCATGCCAGGAGTATTGGCAGTGCCACATATTACCCTTAGTGAGCCTATAGTCTCAAAATGCATGTTATAAGCGGGGAGAATAGGGATGTAAGTCATTGCTTAAACTTCTCTCTATCTGCTTTATACATGGTAGCAAGCCAAATGTTCTGCTGCATACCGAGTCCACTATCTATATCAGCGGAATGTTGCAGATGGATGACTAGAAGTGATTAGTCTTTGAAGCCCGACACAGCGCAAAGCTCAGTCCATTGAAGTCCACAGGTCCGTGTAGGCGATCAGAGGGGTTCCTGTTGGATGCTTCTGCTGTAACATGTGCATGTAATCGGCGCTAGAGGAAGAAAGTATATAGTAATGTTGGATATCGTTCACAACAGTGGGAGTGTCTCTGTCATTCAGCTCTCAAGACTCTTTCTATTCCAGCGTTCCTGCCATAGCTGAGGTCTTAGCCAAGCCAAGCTGTCCCACCCTCCTCGGCGTTTGCTTGTCATCAAACAGCCAGCCGCCCGAGGCTGACCTCATATTTGACAAGGTAAGAGTTCTCAGCCACTGGGACCCATGATCATATACATATACATGGCACTCGACCTGATCAATGAGCCAGCAGTGCTACTACTGAGACCCTAGACTGGGGAAGGAGGGGGTCGCTGGGCTTGTCCAAGAGACTCCTCCTTTCCCTTTTTTCATTGACTTGGTTTGTTGTTTCTACCTGTCATTGCACAGGTAAGGGTGCTGGAGTGACTTCTTCATCGGCCAGGGGTTGGGAGTCTTGTAATTATTCTGTTGTATCACAAAAACATTTTGTCAAGTGCTCTTCTTTTCATTCAAGGTTAGAGACAGACCCCCCACTGGGTATTTTAGCTGTGCCTTCTTTGGGTAAAATGTTAAACTGAACATATCAAGTAAACTTCAGTAAAAAGCAATACAGTTTCCAAAATATCTTATATTGTGTTCTTCTATAATAGGATTCATAATCAGACACGCAACATGCTCATTTTTTTATCTATTGGGTAGGGAGCAATGAGCATAGTGCAGTTACCAACAGCAACTAAAAAATAATCATATGCCAGTCTAACATAAAATCTGATTGGGTACTGCATTTTGCCTGTTACACAGATCAATTGAATATATATTCATGTGGCTGTGAACATTTTGGGATTATTCACAAGACAGTGCAAATGACAATTAGAATGTGCAAAATGCAATATCCATAACAACAATGTTATCTTCTAAATGGTTTGGCCACCGTAAGCTCAAATGTGGTTGCTCTAGTCTGCAGTGATTTGGGCATCTTCATTATGCATTGATCTGTCTAACTAAATGAGCTCTTTGAGTTTCATTTATATGATTAGTATTTCACCTTACATAAAATCTGATTGGTTACTTGCATGGGGTTACTGCATTTTGCCTATTATGCAGATCAATTGAATATTTTCATGTTGCTGTGAATATTTTGGCATTATTCACAAGGCAGTGCAAAGGGCAAGGAGAATGTGCAAAATGCAATATCCATAACAACAAGGTTATCTCCTTACCGGTCTGACCATGGTAAGCTCAAATGTGGTTGCTCGATCTGCAGTGATTTGGGCATCTTCTTTATGCATTGATCTGTCTAACCAAATGAGCTTGTTGAGTTTCATTTATATTATTAGTATTGCTCCTTACATAAAATCTGATTGGTTACTTTGGGTTACTGCATTTTGCATGTTATCACAGATCAACTGAATATTGTCATCTGTCTGTGAGCATTTTGGAATTATTTACAAGGCAGTGCAAAGGGCAATGAGAATGTGCAAAATGCAATATCCATAACAACAAGGTTATCTTCTAACCATAGTAAGTTCAAATGTGGTTGCTCTAGTCTGCAATAATTTGGGCATCATCATTATGCATTCATCTGTCTTACTAAATGAGCTCTTTGAGTCACATTTATATTATGAGTAGTGCACTTCCATCATTTAAGCAGTGCATTCCAGTACATGTTTACAGGATGTTCTTGTGCAACACTGCAATCATCTGCAGATATTGCAGCACATTTTTGTATGTTTGAAAAGGCAGGTAATTCCTATTTCTCTAAAAAAAAAAAGACAAGATAGAGATATCTGTAATTGACCAGAACAGTAAATCTGTCCAAAGAAAAGATTTTTAATTAGATAGAACTCCAGATTTGTTAGCAGGGAAACATTCATTACCATCTTAAATTGCCATTAATCATCAACCTGGCAGAGGCAGGTCATAAATCAGAAATACAGTGAGCTAATAGGAAGCATGGGAAATCCCAGACTCTATATATTTAGAGGGAATAGACAGGATGTAGGGCCTGTGTGCATCTGATAAACTGGAAGTGATAACAGTTGATTCGTTAAATCGGCACCTACATAAAACTAAGCGATTTGGAGATAACTGGTGATGTGTGTACCCCTGACCATGCATTAATGATAGCTGCTGTTCACAAATGGAATATTTTGCTTTCCTCAAAGCTTGCAGTCTTTGATCACCAGTGCTCATGCTTAATGAACAGAATCGGAAAACAGTAGCCCTTTTATAGGGACTGCATTCACTGAAGCGTCAGTCACTCATTTACACAGCACAGAGCATAATATGTTAACATACATTGGTATTCTTCATTAACTGCTATAGCAAATGTTGATTACTGCAACATCAGATCTCTTCAATTTTGACACTTGGGAATCAGGAAAAATCAGTACTGTAATTGCATGTAAGAGCAGAGCAAATTATGAAGGCTTAACGTTATTCAGTGGTAAAAATACATTGGACTGCATTCACAAGCACAAGAACAATAATGCCGAACACTATGACAAATATTGTGTTCTTGGTATTTTCAAATTTGCACTTGGTTCAGGTGTTTGTAATGCTGAGTCAGGTAAATAATTTGTCTTCATTTGAAAAGTTTGTATGATATCTAATACAAAGAATGGGAGAGGAAGTGCAATCTCTATTAAGTAAATGAATATACCACGAAAAATATTTATTGCAGGGCCTATATATAAGCCAGAAATTTCTGATATGGGCTAAAGAAGGATCTGTCTTCCAAGTAAAATACTTTATTTGACCTTTACTGAGCAGCTAACTAGGAATATTTACGTTACCACTTAAACCACTTTGACCTTAAAGTCCCACTCTTGGAAAAATATGATCCCCCTACCACACCTATCCTCCATACACTCTAACCCATCCTACAAATGTTTTGTTTTTTTGCCTGGTGAAGAAAATTAAGGGGTACACATGGATCGACTTTTGGAAGATTCAGCAGGAATGGGCCAAAACTCAATGCATGGGTGGCCCTATCCCCTCAACAGAAGTCGATCTTTAGTTCGACTTTTGCTGAAGGAACATGCTGGAAAACGATCAGCCAAACAGCACTTGCGGCTGCAAGCATGTTGGAGTGTTCTGACAGAGGCAAGCGCCTCTGTCAAAATACGATATAATCTGCGAGAGATTAATTCATCCACGCTGTTAGTGTGGCTGGAGGAATCCATCCAGGTGTGTATCCAGCTTAATACTCAGTCAAGTCTGACCTCCAAGTCCCTCGCCATCTCCATTTGCAGGTGCGGAGGACAACTAACCCAGCATGGCAGTTGATCCCTTACCACCCAGTCACCAACAGTCCACTTGTGATGACATCACTCCTCTTCTGGATCTGAGAGGACTCTGCTGCCGGATAGCCAATAGAAAGAATCCTGTCATGCAGGTAGTGACATGCACACCTGAAGAAGGAAGTCAACAGAGGAGAAGGCTTGGGACTGGTGCATCATATGATTACTGTTTATTTTCATAATTAAAAAGGGCTTTTAGTTTTTTTTTTATTCCAATGATCCATTATAGAGGGTAATATGGTATTTAACACAAACCTGTGCCGTGTTAAGACTAGTCAAACTACGTTGTAAGAGGCACACAGCACAGTGGGCACCATATGGTACATGCTGTTACCTTTAGTGCACTCTTTTGTCATGTCAACCTGCTGGTAGATCCGCTCAAAATCCTTTGCAAGTACCATATTTCTGGAAGTTGATTTCTGCACATGACTGAGCATTTTTACCCCCATTCTTACATGTAATTGATGAGGTCTGGTGCTTGGCTACTGGGGAACCCATGTGACCTCCTTCTTGTTATTAATACACATCTGGTGCTCCAGAATTCATACTTGTGATTTAAAGCCTAAACACATAGGATACTTAGAATTATTGGAAATTTAGACATCATCATACATGGTACCACATCCCATGAAATTCACAGTATCAGAATGAACCAATAGGTATAAAAGGGAAGTTTTTAATGTATCAATGGAACACTATATTTGTTTCCTTTCCCATAAAGTCAATTTCTTAAATAACAAACATTAAAACATATTTGACTTAAAACCAATAAATTCACAGATTCATTTCAGTTGCTTTCACATTGGTAAATATATATATATATATATACACTGAGTGGCCAGATTATTATGATATATAGATATATATATCACAATATGTCTCTTCTCTGTACGTATATACATACATTTCTTGCTTCCATTTACTTCCTTAATTGATTATCTTGATTGACTGAGGTTCAATGCATTTTGCTTTCATGCTTCATCAGGAACCACAGGAGGATATCATGGCAAATGAAATACACAGTGACTGGTCAGAGACCTGAATGGAGAGACCCAACTCAGTGGCAGGGGCCACCCATGAAGGTCCCCAACACAGGACATGACAAGACTATACCCTGTAGAAGTGGCTGATATCCAGTATGCTGATCCAATATCAATCTATCTTGCACAATGTGCAGAAAAGGGTCTACTGGATATAGACAGGCAAATCCTCAGTACACATGTTCAGAGCATGATCCTTAAATCCTGCTATAACCAAAAGGACCCTCATACTCCATATATATAGCCCCAGGATGTCCAGCCATCCTGAACAAATGGAGGGAGGGTGTGAGTATTGCACACCCCTAAGAGAGAGGTGAGGTGATTCAGAATTCTTGCCAGTCATCTTGACGCTGTTCTTGTGGGTCCCCAGATAAACTCTCTCTGCTGCCCCAAAGCCAAGTTCCTTAATGTGCCCCCCTCCCCGCCAAATTTCCCCCCAAATGGCAGGGCAGCAGGGTTGGTTTTAATTTTTTCTCCTGTCTTTACTTTATTATCACTTGTACAGAATGAGCGGCAGCTTCACGGCTTTACATTTAGTTCTGCTTGCCCAAAGCAGGGCTAAATGTAGAAAACAACTACTAATAAAATATAGAAAATGAACTGCGCCAATAAGCAAGCTAACAGCTACAAGGCACTGGAATGTACACCCACTGTGAGTGTGTATACGTGAAAAATGAATAACTAAATGTGCCGAGCTAAAACAATGATCAGATATAAAGAGTAAAAAAAATAAAAAAACAGTGACTCAAACAAATGTCAGTGAAAAAAATCAATCAGGTGTAAAGTCTTTAAATCTTCATAAATCCGCGAAAGATGTCCAAATATAGCAATAGTGATGAATATTACTTGTTCCTTCACCAAATGCACCACGTGCA